TAAGTTATAACTGTAATTTTGATAGTGGGATATTTTAAAAAAAAAAATTATTGGTGGTTTCCCTCGGGACGGATATTCCGGTCCGAAGCTCGACATATGACAGATATTATTATTCTTGCATAGCAGACTGGCGTTTCATTGAGTTTTACCGATGCCGGAAATTTCATCTGGCATGGGAGTGCGAGATGAGTCGCCTGCCAAACAACAAGGTCATTTTAGCGCACTTTATGAATGAACCGCGTTAAAATGACGTCGTTTTAGAAGGGAAATATGTGCTTAGGATGACGTCATTTCGCCGTTGTTTTTTAAGTTGTAAGTTAATACGCTATTGTAAGAAAATAGTTATAGATGAAATGACTTAAATTTCCATGAACATATACATATTTAGGTAAACCATTTTAAATATGAAATAATATGGCAGAAAATGCAAGAAAAATATCTGACATATGTTTGCGGTTGGGACCGGAATATCCGTCCCGAGAGGACCCGCCCATTGTGCGGTAACGAGGCTTGACAGATATTATTAATCTATAAATGTGTAGAAAACGTAAAGATTATATCATTATGTCACTTTTCTATTCCGACGTAAAATGCTTTAAAAATGTGCATGGTAGTTTTTCAGGGTTTTTTTTTCAGTTTTTTTTTATTTTTTGAAACACACATATTTTGTTGATGAGTGAAAATAGCACCGAAAGATACAAAATGTATAATTTATTAAAGAGGGAAGTTAAACCATTTGCATCAATGATCGAAGCAGTCGTTTATCTCGTGTCATTGACAGTTGAACTTGCATTAAATACATGTTTACAAAAAATATTATACAAATAATGAGTATATATCAAAATGCAAATGGGTTGGAGACAAGTTATAACAACATAAGATTAAGCTTCCCTTCCTGCTTGATGCAGTGTGGTGCTGCGCTATACGAAATTTGCACGAATCTTATCGTATCATTAAAATATTTAATTCTTTAGAAATGACAAATATGTGTTTAATACTGTTTTAATAATAGATTTAGAGTATATAAAATGTTTAACAACTTATGAAATTTGCGCTGTATGTGCAGTAATGTTTCGTAAAGGTAGCCAAAATATAAACAAAGTTGTATTTTTGACTTCCATACAAAATGCTCATTTACTATGATTATACCCCTTTCAACACAGACAAAGAGCAAAAGAAAGTTAGTGTTTGTGGCAAATGAGATTTTCATATGTAAGTGTAACGATAACAAAAACAGAAAGTTTTTTTAGAAATAAAAACGATAGCATTTCTAAGGCCTAATAGGCCTTTAAGGGAGGGAGAGACGTCGGGCTGGCCAAAGACTGAGTTTATTTAATTTGCGTCATGTATAATAAATGAGCCGTGTCACGACAAAACCAACATAATGGGTTTGCGACCAGCATGGATCCAGACCAGCCTGCGCATCCGCGTAGTCTGATCAGGATCCATGCTGTTCGCTAACAATCTTTATAACAAGTAGAGAAACTGATAGCGAACAGCATGGATCCTGATCAGACTGCGCGGATGAGCAGGCTGGTCTGGATCCATGCTGGTCGCAAACCCATTATGTTGGTTCTGACATGACGCGGCTCAAATGTACTCATGTAGTTCCAGCCTAGAAAACACCAAATTCATGAATGGTATAGCAATGGTAAAAGGACTGACAATATCAGCTTATTAGCTCTGTGTTTCTTCCGATTTGTCTGCAATGTGGTCTTTATGTAAAGAGAACTGCTGAATAAAAGGGAAATGTTATATGATTCTACATTTTAGGGAGAGTATTCCCATTAACAGATATATGATTCTAAAAATGGTATATCTTATCTTCTCAAGGTATTATTATATTGTGTTGCTATGTCGTGTGTACTTATGTATTTTGTCTTTGTACATGTACATTGTAGTACATGTATAGTGTACAAAACTAGAAGATTTAATAATGCGACATTTTGTCGGGTTTAGTAATTGATGACTTTGATGTTGATTATCATGTTCCTTCTAAGTATTGGCTGTGACATACTTAAACTATTGATTTAGCTAGGCAAGACTTAACATACGATTCTAGTTCAAAATTAAACTGCTCAGGGCATACGGTTCGTTTTAAAAAACAACAACAAAAAACTGCTTTACAAGCGAAATGAAATTTGATAGAAAATATCTATACGAATCAAAACGAGATGGCGCCGCCCGGGAATGGAACCCGGGTCGCCGGATTTAAAATCAAAAGCTGTACCTATCGAGCTGACTGGGCGACTTTTAGTTCATAAGAAAAAAAGAAGTCTAATGACTTTTGTCAGTCTATGAAAAAGTCATGTATTTTTTTTAATTTATTTATTTTTTGGTAAAAATTAAGATTGTTGATATGTTAAATTGCAGGAAATAAACGTTTGTTTATAAGTAATTCAAGCCTAGCGGATAATGTATGCAAGTATCCGTTATAGAACCATATTAACTGTCAAAATTGTCGAAACTTTAGAAATGAAAGACAAAATAAAAGATAATTTACGGGTCAAGGCTTGCTCAAAAGACACGAATTGCCAGATTAAAGCTGGCTCAAAATTCAACTCCAGCTCGAAATTCGGGTTTTGAAAATTTTGAATTTCGATCTTCGAGCTGGCTCGAAATTCAACTCCAGCTCGAAATTCAAATTTAGAAAATTTTGAATTTCGATCTTCGAGCTCGCTCGAAATTCAACTCCAGCTCGAAATTCAACTTTTGAAAATTTTGAATTTTGATCTTCGAGCTCGCTCGAAATTCAACTACAGCTCGAAATTCAACTTTTCAAAATTTTGAATTTTGATCTTCGAGCTGGCTCGAAATTCAACTCAAGCTCGAAATTCAACTTTTGCAAATTTTGAATTTCGATCTTCGAGCTGGCTCGAAATTCAACTCAAGCTCGAAATTCAACTTTTGCAAATTTTGAATTTCGATCTTCGAGCTGGCTCGAAATTCAACGCAAGCTCGAAATTCAACTTTTGCAAATTTTGAATTTCGATCTTCGAGCTGGCTCAAAATTCAACTCCAGCTCGAAATTCAACTTTTGAAAATTTTGAATTTCGATCTTCGAGCCAGCTCGAAATTCAACTCCAGCTCAAAATTCAAATTAATAAAATTTTGAATTTCGATCTTCGAGCTGGCTCGAAATTCAACTCCAGCTTGAAATTCAAATTTAGAAAATTTTGAATTTCGATCTTCGAGCTGACTCGAAATTCAACTCCAGCTCGAAATTCGGATTTTGAAAATCTTGAATTTCGATCTTCGAGCTGGCTCGAAATTCAACTCCAGCTCGAAATTCAACTTTTAAAAATTTGGAATTTCGATCTTCGAGCTGGCTCGAAATTCAACTGCAGCTCGAAATTCAACTTTTGCAAATTTTGAATTTCGATCTTCGAGCCGGCTCGAAATTCAACTCCAGCTCGAAATTCAACTTTTGCAAATTTTGAATTTCGATCTTCGAGCTGGCTCGAAATTCAACTCCAGCTCGAAATTCGCCTTAAGCTTACTTTGAATTTCGATCTTCGAGCTGGCTCGAAATTCAACTCCAGCTCGAAATTCGGGTTTTGAAAATTTTGAATTTCGATGTTCGAGCTGGCTCGAAATTCAACTCCAGCTCGAAATTCAACTTTTCAAAATTTTGAATTTCGATCTTCGAGCTGGCTCGAAATTCAACTCCAGCTCGAAATTCAACTTTTGAAAATTTTGAATTTCGATCTTCGAGCTGGCTCGAAATTCAACTCCAGCTCGAAATTCAACTTTTGAAAATTTTGAATTTCGATCTTCGAGCTGGCTCGAAATTCAACTCCAGCTCGAAATTCAAATTTAGAAAATTTTGAATTTCGATCTTCGAGCTGGCTCGAAATTCAACTCCAGCTCGAAATTCAACTTTTCAAAATTTTGAATTTCGATCTTCGAGCTGGCTCGAAATTCAACTCCAGCTCGAAATTCAACTTTTGAAAATTTTGAATTTCGATCTTCGAGCTGGCTCGAAATTCAACTCCAGCTCGAAATTCAACTTTTGAAAATTTTGAATTTCGATCTTCGAGCTGGCTCGAAATTCAACTCCAGCTCGAAATTCAACTTTTGAAAATTTTGAATTTCGATCTTCGAGCTGGCTCGAAATTCAACTCCAGCTCGAAATTCAACTTTTGAAAATTTTGAATTTCGATCTTCGAGCTGGCTCGAAATTCAACTCCAGCTCGAAATTCAACTTTTGAAAATTTTGAATTTCGATCTTCGAGCTGGCTCGAAATTCAACTCCAGCTCGAAATTCAACTTTTGAAAATTTTGAATTTCGATCTTCGAGCTGGCTCGAAATTCAACTCCAGCTCGAAATTCAACTTTTGAAAATTTTGAATTTCGATCTTCGAGCCGGCTCGAAATTCAACTCCAGCTCGAAATTCAACTTTTGAAAATTTTGAATTTCGATGTTCGAGCTGGCTCGAAATTCAACTCCAGCTCGAAATTCAGCTTTTGTTTACTTTGAATTTCGATCTTCGAGCTAGCTCGAAGTTCAACGCTAGCTCGAAATTCACTAGAAACTGAATTTCGATCTTCGATCTTCGATGTCAGTGCCAACTTCTCGATACTTATTTTTACTGGTATTGTGTAGTAGCAACAAAAATAATTTATTTGCCGGAATCAAATGCACATCAAAGAATTGAAATGTGTCAGCAAGCAACGAGAGCCAAGAGTAGTGATTAAAATTGATATTGGCGATCACTTGATGTATATAATATACCATTTAAAATATTTCTGTATCAATAATATGTTTATTTACCATTTGTAGCTTAGCCTAAAACATTCAAAATGTAATAGAGCGACAATTTCCAAAGTCATGTGCTAAACGGGTTATCTTGTGCTCCATTTCTGCTAAAGTTTGTAGTACTGCTCGCTTTGTGTCACATGGACAACTTTTGGCGAAGTTTTTTTTCTCAACATTATGTTATTTCTGGTTAATCAAAGTGTTTTTTAAATATGCAAACTAATGATTTTTATACTTTAAGGCCAGTCCGGCAGTCTTGGACTGCTACCTGGAATTGGTATGCCACCAGGAGTGGGTTTCCCACCGGGAATTGGTATGCCATCAGGAGTTGGAATGCCACCAGGAATTGGGATGCCATATGGAATAGGCATGCCACCAGGAATTGGAATGCCACATGGAATCGCAGGCGGTATGTTTTCAGGTGGACCATCGGGACATGGTGGCCCCATGGGTCATGCTGGAGGAATGGCTGCCGGGTTAGGTATGTATTTTGGAACGAAAAAGATTTGCACTTTGGAAATGGAAACGTGTTCAGGAACTGAAATATGTTTTAGGATACATGCATATTCCAGTCTTTACGACTATCATATTTAAAAAGAAACAAAGTTTGGAATAACCATGGACCAAGAGTTATATACATATTAAACTTGCTTATTATTTTGCAGAGAATTGAAATATAATTTGTCGTAAACATTGCTTCACTCTGCGGGAGTGCAAAAAGTATATATTATCTAAGCAAGCATGTTAATTAAAAGCTGTATTTGTTATTTAAGGTGCGCCGGATAGCAGTCGTTGTATAGATGGATCTGCGGGAGTAGGGGAGTGTACGAGTGACGCAGATTGTTCGGGGAGGGGGTACTGTTTTCAACGGGCTTCTGCAAGTGGTATATGTTGTGGTGGGGGATCAGGTTAGTTTGCTTCATGAATTGTATGTTAAAAGGTGCTTACGAATTATGAGTTTATTAAATTGTATAATTGTTGGTGAGATATTACTAATATTCTCAATTCCAAGCCATAGGAGCCTCTAATCATACTCACCTCCTGTGTTTCCGTAGTAAACAATGATATACTGCGCTTGCTCTTTTGACATTATAGCGTATAAGAGGAACGTGTTTATTGCGACCGAACGTTCTAATATGAACATTTTTTTCCTTTTTTTCTGTTGAGGTGGCATACGTAAGTGCCATACGCTATAGTCCCCTTTAACAAAAGAATGGCTAATGCGAGAAATTATATGACCGAATACAAATTTATTTATCTGAGGAATAATCTTTCCATTAGGGAAGAAACCCATTCATGGACTTTGTCCGAAACACAGTTTACATAAATTATCTTTATGATAACAAACGAGTATGACAAGATATGGTCAAGCTGCATAATTATTAATTGTCTCTCTGAAAGAAAGTTTTTCATTTATCGTATTTAATGTTTATTCATATGGCTAAAATAAGTTATTTTCCTGCAAAACCCCAAACCAATTGAAATAATAATTTAGTAATAAGGCTAAGTATCTAATTGTTAAACATTATTTGTGTAGGTGCCAGTGGAGGCATGGGGCCTGGAGGAGGCATGGGAGCTGGAGGTGGCATGGGACCCGGAGGTGGCATGGGACACGGAGGTGGCATGGGACATGGAGGAGGCATGGGACCTGGAGGGGGTATGGGACATGGAGGTGGTATGGGGCCTGGAGGTGGCATGGGGCCTGACGGAGGCATGGGGCCTAGCGGTGGCATGGGACCTGGAGGTGGCATGGGATATGGAAGACGCATGGGAACTGGAGGAGGCATGGGACCTGGAGGTGGCATGGGATATGGAGGAGGCATGGGGCCTGGAGGAGGCATGGGGCCTGGAGGAGGCATGAGAGCTGAAGGAGGCATGGGGCATAGAGGAGGCATGGGACCTGGAGATGGCATGGGATATGGAGGAGGCATTGGGCCTGGAGGAGGCATGGGGTCTGGAGGAGGCATGTCTTCTGCTGGAGGAATGGTCTCAGGAGGAGAAATGAGGTACAGGGACGGCATGTCTTCTGCTGGAGGAATGGGGTTTGGAGAAGAAATGAGGTACAGGGACGGCATGTCTTCTGCTGGAGGAATGGGCTCAGGAGGAGAAATGAGGTACAGGGACAGTATGTCTTCTGCTGGAGGAATGGGCTCAGGAGGAGAAATGAGGTACAGGGACGGCATGTCTTCTGCTGGGGGAATGGGCTCTGGAGGAGAAGTGAGGTACAGGGACGGCATGTCTTCTTCTGGGGGAATGGGCTCTGGAGGAGAAGTGAGATACAGGGACGGCATGTCTTCTGCTGGGAGAATGGGCTCAGGAGGGGAAATGAGGTACAGGGACGGCATGTCTTCTGCTGGAGGAATGGGCTCAGGAGGGGAAATGAGGTACAGGGACGGCATGTCTTCTGCTGGAGGAATGGGCTCAGGAGGAGAAATGAGGTACAGGGACGGCATGTCTTCTGCTGGAGGAATGGGCTCAGGAGGGGAAATGAGGTACAGGGACGGCATGTCTTCTGCTGTAGCAATGGGCTCTGGAGGAGAAATGAGGTACAGGGACGGCATGTCTTCTACTGCTGGAGGAATGGGCTCAGGAGGGGAAATGAGGTACAGGGACGGCATGTCTTCTGCTGGGGGAATGGGCTCAGGAGGGGAAATGAGGTACAGGGACGGCATGTCTTCTGCTGGGGGAATGGGCTCAGGAGGAGAAATGAGGTACAGGGACAGCATGTCTTCTGCTGGGGGAATTGGCTCAGGAGGGGAAATGAGGAACAGGGACAGCATGTCTTCTGCTGGGGGACAGGGCTCTGGAGGAGAAATGAGGTACAGGATCGGAGGAATGGGTTCAAGCAGTACCACGGGCTTCAGTGGAAGTTCTGGTGGAATGAGGGAATATAGGGAAGTTAGATACAGTAGAACTGGAAGTGGAAGCATGCCACAAGAAGGTACGGCAATTTCAGTTGCAGGTGGTGGTAGCATGGGTTCCGGAACTACTGGTCCTAGGGACCCGTTAGAAAGTATCCCATGTCCTGCTGTAACAGTTACGTCATGTGATGACTCAATACCTCGCCGAGAGTGTTTCACATCCGATGCGGTGTGCCGTCAAAATGAAAAGTGTTGTCCACATCCTTGTGGATATGTTTGTCAAGACATTACTGGAGTGCGTAGTCAGCCCAGGTGTCCAGATGTGGTAGGCCAGAGGTGCACGGCCGGACGACAAAATGGCCGGTCGTGTTCGTCAGATTCTTCTTGTGGCAGAGGACAGAGATGTTGTGAAGACCCGTGTGGTTTTATGTGTAAAGACACCATATAATAAAAGATATATCTTCGAAACGTTCGAAACTTACTAACTAACTAATAATCATACTTTAATCATTCTCTAAATTAATTTACATTCTGTAAAATAAATCATTTGTTATGTTGGAAAATTTAGAAATTATTAAAGAGTAAATGGATTTCGTAAGCATGAGGTCTATTAGAAAGTATCATGAATAAATGAATATTTTAAATGAACAAAAAAGTTTTACTCTTTCCTTGTTACTGTAGCACAAAAGCGCTGAAAATTGTTTCCTTGAACGGCTTTCAGCGTTATTCATTCTTGCTGATGAATGGATGTCGATGTTATCATTTAAAAGAGGCGAACTGCTGATGACGTTACTAAAAGTTTGATGACACTCAAACTTAAATACCCTATAACTTTAACAGAAAAGCATTTTTTTTGAAGGTTGGTTTGGAATATTTAACGACGAAATGTTGACGTTTACGAATCGTATGATAAAAGGATTTATTATTATGAGAAAATATACGTTTTTATGACTTTTAAAAAAAGCCGCATCTCATCGGATAGTGTGGTTATTTTCAGTGAAAATTCACGTGAAGTAAAGCTTGCACAGTGCCAGAAATTTGTTAGCATGCTCCTTTGGATGTTGACTATGAATTTACTCGAACACAGTTGGGATATGTTAAAAAGTAGATGAATACTTATCGCCCGTCAATTGTGTTTTCTGCGCCGACATGTACAATACTGGTATCTGCCCATTTGATTAGGTGATTCATACCCCAACCCGCCACCTTAACATTTGAAAAAAAATTGTAGTCTGAAGGAAAATTTGAACTTAACCTATATTTTATGATGTTTCTTATGTGTACCAATAATTATAACAATTAATTGCATAGTATAAACATCTGTTAACCATTATCTTTGTAAAAAAATATTGTAACAGTGACCTTTACTCCGAGGTGTCTAAAAGCAATCTAGACCGGAGTCTTCAAATAAGTTGTCTGATTACAATATTTCATTCCTTGCTCTAGTTATCGACCGGAATCCAGTTTTGTGTTTTATTTTTTTTAACAGTGACGGTGACCGTCCAAAAGCAATCCCAAATACGTTTTATATATAAGCTGGCTATACCAAGTTGATAACAATATCTCATTGTTAACTCTAGCTATTATCCGGAAATCTTTTTATTTTTAGTAACAGTGACCTTGACCATTACCCTAGGGGGTCAAGAAGCAATTATAACCAGGTTTATATATAAGTTTTATTTTAGCTCGGCGCCGGAAACTCCATGTGTCCGAAATCTCAGCGTCCATGCCGGTCCAGTTTAGAAATCTCTTCGGGGACGTCTTTTTCATGCCGATCTTCCTTAACCTGTTCTTCGTTCGTTGGAGGAAAGACAATACTGTCAAGACACCATGTTCCGTGACGTCAGCAAAAAGGCAGCAAACATAATAATAATAACAATAATAATAATAATAATAATAAAGACTTTGTTTAACGAGAGAACTCATTTGAACAAACATATCAATCTTCCATGAGGCCCTCAACAACGAACAATATAAATTTTACATATTCAAACTATTAAAATACATAAATGTAAAAACATACAGATTAACAATTTGTATACATCAATGTGTGATAATACCTCAAGTATAAGGTTTTAAAATGATTCACAGATGTAGCAGACTTAATATAATCAGGAAGGGCGTTCCAAATACAAGATGCAGAATAAACAAAAGACTTACGAAATTGTTCAGTATTTGGTCTAGGAGTATAAAGTTGAAAATCAGATGATGAACACAAAATGCGAGTACGACCATCTGACGATAAAATGAAATTATTCAATAAATAGGAAGGCGCCTTTGATTATTCATTATTTTAAACATCATAATAGCTTTTTGAAAAACCCTCTGTGAAAAGGTCATTCAGCGGAGTTTAGAAAAAAGTTCAGCAGATGGGGTGTCATAATCTTCCTCTAGAATTAGTCTTGCAGCTCTCTTTTGGAACCTAATGAGTTTATCTTCTAGAAAAGACGTACAGTTGCCGTAAATTATGCAACAATAATCAAGATGTGGTAAAATATATGCATTGTAAAACATTTTACGCACAGGTATAGATATGAATAACTTCATACGTGATAATAAATGTAACAATGAGTTACAGTTTTAAGAACATTATCAATATGGCTTTGCCAAGACAATGTGTTATTAATTGTAATACCCAATAATTTTTCTTCAGAGCTACAAAACATTTGCTCTGTTTTATATGAAATACAAGGATTATTTTCATGAATATAATTTTGCTTGTGTTTTGAGGAAATAAACATGACCTTAGTTTTGTTGACATTGATTTGTTGGCATTTAAAAGATCATTAGTAAGAGATTCAACTACTCTTAAGGGATACATCAGAGGTTGAAAGGGTAGTGTCATCAGCAAAAATATCAGTTTCTGATTTTTCCATAGACAAAGGCAGGTCATTGATATAGATTAAAATCAGTATAGGACCTAGCACTGAGCCCTGAGGAACTCCAGTAGTTACTGAACTTTACTCTGAATATAAACCGGATATGTAAGTTTGTTGGGTTCTGCAATCTAAATAGGAGGAAAACCAAGCAACTGATGAAGGTTATACATTCTAAGCTTTTCAATAATAATAGAGTGATCCACATAGTCAAAAGCTTTAGAGAGATCAAGGAAAATTGAACCAACTATTTCATTTTTGTCAATAGCTGTAAAATGGCTCTTTTTAGTGCCACCCTCCCGTGTTAGTCACCACAGGTCAACCAATCATCTCTGGTACTGAAGACAATTTGACCTTGACCTGCTGTGCGCCTTCTCCGCGACGTGCACGCCTCGGGAGGGATTTGGAGAAGATGTAACAAAACATTAGGAAACAACCTTTTAAGACATTGGCGTGGCCGTTAACGGTTACCCGGTGTCAAAAATGTCACTTGATCAACCACCCTAAAAGTACAGATACAAATCTGCCTATGGCAATGCAAATATAAATATACTTATCGCAAACACACAATAATTAATATAACAAAACAAAACGCTGCATTGAGTAAATGTTATGCATATCAAATTTGAATCCTTATAGGAATACTAGTATGTATATAACAAATTTAATACTTATTCAAAGCAAAATGATACGTTTTTTAAAAAAAATATTCCTTTCTTCTATCAAAACTACATCCCTAAACAATTTACTTAAATAATGTAAGTTATACTTTTTCTTATATACCAGTAATCGATATATTCTATCTTGATTTGGAAAACAATATGGCAATTTGAATTTGATTCTTAAATCTTTATATAGTTGAAGATGAGCATCATTTCATCATTTGTCCGTGCTGTAATGAACTTAGAGAGAAATATATTAAATCTTATTACTATGTTAAACCTAGCGTCCATAAATCTTTAGATCTGTTAAATATTAAATATATCAAACAATTAACTTTGAAAAATTTAGCTCTTATATCATATTTGCATTACCTCTTATACCTATATTTATTTACAACTAATTGTGGTTCACCCCCCCCCCCCAAAAAAAAAAAAAAGAATAAATAAAAGAAGATTATGCTGCTTTACAATCGGAACATCCTCGGTTATTATCTATAATAACCTCGGAAACAATACGGATTGAAAGTAGTTCTACCACGTGGTTTCAGATAAAAACAGAAACACAAATGTATAAATTTGACATCCAAAAGAAAAGTAAAGTCAGTTTCGGTACACATATGTCGAATATGATTGAAAATATGTCTGACAACAATTTGTAATTTAGATATGCCCACTGATGTACAATATATTTTAAACAAATCCGACTAAATGTCAACAGGTTGGGTTTTTTGTACTTTCGGTTTCTACAACCATAATAATAAATATAGAAATAATGTATTGTTTGCTTTTGTATCTATCAATTCACTTATTTTAGGTGGACTTTAACTACAAATATTTGAAATAAACTTGTCAACAACTTCCAGCATTAAATTACTATTTGTTTACATGATTAGTTTCTTAGCGTAGGTTGGACCGAATACCGCATCCGTTCTGTGTTTTCCGAAGACTGATGGAAAGGGCCGAAAAGTTGCAATTAGCTGCTTTATTGAAAAGTTATTGTTCTGTTCTGTTCTAAGTTCGTGAATAATCGGTATATATCGCCACTTTCCGTACTGCCACTTTCCGTACTCAAAATATCAAACATGCATCGGCATAACCTGAAGGAATAAAAATCTTGTCATCTCACCGCTTTCTGAATAATTAAATAATGAAATGAGTTGGCCGAGTATATACAAAATATCAAATAACTATTGAGAACCCATTTCACGCTTAAAAATTTAAAAGAATAACAACCTTGGAAAAAAAATAAAAACAAATATCAAAATGTTCTAAAATTTGAAATTTCTCATAAAGTCTGTCATTTATGTTCATTTTAATCTCAAGATTAAACAGACAAAACGTGTGAGTTAGATTCTCAACTAAAGTGGAGCAACATATATTTATTTTATAACGCTGACTTTTATTCCAACAGGTAAGCGTTTCTTTTCATTTTCAAACAAATAAAGAGAAAAAATGGGCCTGTTTTAATGAGAATCGCTGATTTCCCATATCATAACTGATTGATATTTTATCATTTTCCCACAAAATTTAATATCATTGAATCCCCTAGGCGTTTGTGCTCATTCCATTTATATAACTACATTGTTTTACGAACGCCAATATTTTGATTAAAATATCTCAACGTTATCTAGAGGTAGCCGCGCGAAAAGATATACTCCGCCGCTCCGCAAAACATTCTTAAGTCGGACGATAAACACTTGCCCCAAGCGTTGAACCAAATTTTATTCAAAATCGGCTTTTTCAGACGTAATCAATCAGAAAATTTTTCTCTTCACTCGACCCAAAGATTTACGTTCCGCTTATATAAAATAAAAAACTTGTTTTCATTTTCTTGTTTGTATGAATTTAAACTTATGTATAAAGATTGTGTCGAACCTTTTGAAAAAGAAGTTGTAACGTAAATCTTGTTTATTAAACATCTTTAAAGCGGCATGGATGTGCATAATTTTCTTTTACAATATATCTATAAAAGAAGATACTTTTGTGGAGTAAATGTGCTACATGATTAAACATAAAGACATAAAACGATTTCTAAGCTTGATTTGGTGATAATTATGATGATAATTATTATGATAATAGACCAAAATGAATAAAGATAACTGAAAAGTTTAAGATATTTTGTCACATTCTTCTGTTCTCTACTTCACGTGTTAAAAAATACAACTCAATATACTCGAGCCAGACGCTTTAATTTTTCTTTAAACAGATGCAACCGAGGAAAGCTGTTTCGATAAATTTCAAATGATAATAATTTCGTATCGTGGAAACAAATTTTATTTCCATTACACTTATCTGGCATTCCATTGATACGTTGGCCCCATTACGCAAATTTTTGTAATGCACTGATTGGCTAGCTAATCGGGATATACTGAAGAGTTTCTGTTTCTATCATTTTTGATCTATTTCAAGCTTTCAAAAGTTCGTCTGCCATTTTACTTGAAAAATAATTATTGGAAAATGAATGAGGGAATATTTTTTAATTGTGTTTTCGGTACTGGCAACAACAGTTACATAAGATAAGAGTTTAGCTACATATAGATGCATGGATAAATACATAACAATTTAAACCAGTAATCATTCTGGATTTTAAAGTATTGCTGTATCAAAGAAATAAACAATGGCGATTATCAAACAAACATTTACAATCGTGGATTACATTGTGTTTTCACTTACAGTGCTGGCTTCAGTAGCCATTGGAATATATTTCGCTTTTACCGGACGTAAAAAGAATACTACCCTAAATTATTTCCATGGCGATCGCAAATTAAAATACGGACCGGTTGCTCTATCCCTCGTTGTTACGTTTCAGTCATCCATCATGCTTTTGGGATTTCCGGCGGAAGTTTACTTATTCGGATACATGATTTGTTTGTTTAATATCGGGCAATGCGCAGCAATTTTTCTCGCTACAAAAATTATTGTGCCGCTTATGTACCCGTTAAAAATTACCAGTGTTTATCATTACTTACAACTTCGCTATGGAAATAACAGCGTCAGGATTTTAAGTGTGACAATAGGTATTATATCTCAGAGTATATACATGGGCATCGTACTGCTTGGACCAGCTATAGCACTGCAGTCGGTCACCGAAATACCCATATGGACATCAATTCTATGTATTGCGCTTGCTGCCATAATTTACACTTCAATTGGTGGAATTCTTGCAGTTATATGGACGGATGTTTTACAATGTTTTATCATAATAATTGGGATTCTGTCAACCTTGATCAAAGGAACTATAGATACAGGAGGTGTTAGCGTCGTCTTTCAGGAGAATATCAAAACTGGACGCTTGGATATGTTAAATTTTAGTCCTAATCCAACAATACGTCATACGTTTTGGACTGTTTTGATTGGCTCCTTTATTGGATCATTTTCTTTAACGCTAAGTCAGTCAACTATACAAAGGTTTAACTCAACACCAACCATTGGGGATGCTAAGAAAGTTTTATTCATTGCTGGACCAGTGTTTATAGTAATGCAGACGTTATCAATGTCAGTTGGACTAGTTTGTTTCGCGTACTACACTGTAAACGCTTGTGACCCAATTTCATCAGGGAGAATTCGTAATCCTAACCAAATAGTTCCATATATGATAGCTGAAATTTTCCGAAACTATCCTGGCCTATCTGGTCTATTCATTTCGGCCCTGTTCAGTGCTTCGCTAAGCACATTGTCATCTATTTTGGCCGGACTATCGGCTGTTACCGTAGAGGACTTCATCCGACCACATTTCACACTGTCGGACAGTTTTCTAACTGTTATCGCTAAAGTTACAGTTGTTGTCTATGGCGGGGTAGGAATAGCTGTTGCGTTTATTATAAGCCAACTTGAGGGTTCATTGACCCAGATTTTATTCAGCGTAATGGGCGCAGCGACAGGACCTTTAGTAGGGATATTTTTCCTGTCCATGTTCTTTCGGAGGGCAACAGACAAAGGTGCAATCATTGGCGGAATAACTGGAATCGTGTTTACATTCTGGATATGTATTGGTTCAACAGTGTCACGTGATATTCCACGTCCAAGACCGTTACAACTTCCGCCAATACTTCATGCTCAGTCATCAATTCAACAATAACTACAAATGTTTACGTACATAATTCTACTCTTGATATATCTACGCATTATTTAGAATATAATGAATCTACGACAAGACCGGATATGATATCAAACTTAACAAGAGCGAGCGGATATGACGTCAGTAAAGACGATGGTGTGAAAGGAATCGGGAAACTTTATACTCTTTCATATGCTTTATTTTCAACTATTGGAACTCTCTTTACAATTTTTGTGGGAATAATTGCGAGTCTGGTCACTTATAAAGAAGACAGAGACAACCCCGACTCAAAATATTTAATGCCACTCTGTACCAGTCTATGCTGTTGTTTTACAAAAGTAACTCAAAGTGAAAAAACTAGCGAGATTACTGAAAACGAAAAAGACGACAAAAAAGTTAGACAATCGCTTCTTTGAAGCCATATATAATTGTAAATATGAACAGTTCGGTGAAGTATTTTTTTCTATCAGTGATCCAGTTTGTTTTAGAACTCATTATTTCAAAAGTAGAATTCAAAACAATCTTGTTTTGTCTTCTTTCAGTTATTTTTAGATCTATTTAGAAATGATTATAATTTCTTTAAAGCAACGTTTATATATTCATTTTCATCAACAGTGTTCAAAATTTTGACATAATACGTAGTTTAATTGTTAAATCGCCTTGTCGCATTTTCTTAGTGTAATATTAATGCACTAGTTATAAAAAGCCCGAAAAAAACACCCAATGATCTTCCTCCACCAGTACAGAGGGAGAGGTACCTTCTAATATTAACAATGGAGATGTGACTTTAATTAAGAAAAGTAAAGAAAGTAAAACATCAATTTAAACTATGCATACAATGCTTACAGTTATAGAAAACAAACTACATGTACATGTATAGCATTTGACTGCTATCATGAATGTGGACGCATGCGAGCGATCAGTACTTACACTCGTTACCCCTTCTAAGCTGAAATTTCCACTTTGATACCTGCATGGCTTCTGATTCAGAAAATAACCTATTTTTTCAGTAAATCAAACAAGACCTACTTTTTTCAGTAAATCAAACAAGAACTCAAAGATTTCTTTTTATTCGGTTTACATTTATTTACAAAATATATAATTATTTAGATAAATAAAGTTAAACATTATCGTCGATTTAAGATAAATATTTGGCATTCGTTTCTGGGTAAACATTAAAGAAAGATTATCTGTCAAAGTTATCAATAAGCACAGGCAAAACATAATGTTTTATTACCTCTGCCAGAAGAAAGCACGATTTTCAAGATAACTAAAAATAAAAGTTGGAAATGAATAGCAAACAAAAATCAGTTAGTACAAATATTAAGATAAATGAAATTCAGGTTTAAAACAAATACGTTTCCCTTGCCGATAAAGAAAATTCTCTTAATTTGACAATTAAACAGAAACTTGTAACAGATTCTGGTTATATTCAGCGTGCCCGTTTTAATATTGAAAGAAATCTGACAAGCTCGTATTGGTTCATCCAGCATGGTGTCGGGGTAAAAATAGCCATGTTACAAAACAAATATGTTATTGAACATGGATAGACCACTGCGCATGGGCGTATAAGGAAAATACACACGCTGATAATGCTGCTTTATCCGCTGGGAAACAATAAACTTTCACGCCTTTCATTTTTCAATAATCTCGCCCATTGCCCAACATTTACCAACATAAAGTCGACTAGAAAAAAGCTATATCTCAATCATTTCTTAAGTAATACATCAATATTTCTAACACTGAAATAAAAGTAAAATGCATCGATGTTCACCGATCAATCTGCAATAATAGATAAGCATAATATGTAAATGATATTAATTATTTCTTCTCATCCCCAATTTCCCGGTGCTTTTTGTAAAATAATAAAATGCAGCGATAAAGCTACGCATGCGCACATCAGAAATGAAATATAGAGTGTCATGAATAACCTATCAAGTATCAAAGCAAGTGTCCGCCACTCGAACCCGGCATAGAACTGATCTTTTTCAACCTGAAGTTGTCTGTTTATCGTTTCAAGCGTCTCGCTGATATTTTCTATAATTGGTACCAAATGTTTGGTCACGTGAACTCCGTGCTGTTCATTGGCGCTCTGAATGTGTTGTTCTGTTTCAACAAAATGGGAACTTGATGTAGACAATCTCTTTAAGGAAATTTCGTCGAATGCATGAAACCTGTAGCTTCCATTACCATTGAGCTCCGGGATTCCATTTCGTTCAACGACGCTTGATTTTCTTCGTTTCTGTAATTGTAATGAATCATAATTGCGAATTGCAATTATTCAAATAATGTTTTTCAACAATACAGGATTGTCTTGTTTTTAAACATTAGTCATTTTTGATATAAACATGTTTGTTCAAATATCCATCAAAATTTAAAACAATTAAGATAAAGAAATCAACAGGTAGTGTGGCGTGCAGGTGTAACGGCAATGAAGTCCATTGCCGATTCAATGGTTATCTTTTTCATTTGTTCTATTCCCTGGATATATAAGCTGCTTAATAAAGTAATTCAGCAATATAATGGGGGTATATTACTGCATATAAGATAGTTCTTCGTGCAGGTACGATGCACTTATCGGCGTGTTTATATGTTGAATGATTAAACTATGAAAAGACATATCATAAACAACAGCAAAGAAGATTGTACCTACCGTTGGTACGGCATACATATGCGTCTTTTGTTCTTCGATATTAACACACATGACACGTGCAAGCGGTCTTAGCACGAAACGCCTTGCCCATCTCGGTAAAGGTCGGACCTCGTACCCTTTGAAGTGAATGTTCAACACAATAACTGTAGTTAAACACGAGAAGCCGACCAGTATCATCGAAATGATAAAGTACAAACCTGAAAGCGGAAGTTGGAAACTATTTGATTCTGAAAAAAGAGGCGTGGTCATGATAAATATTTGAATATTTTTGTTGAATTACACGACACTGTCTATTTTACTAAAATAGTTTAAAATATATGAATAAAGAGTTTTAATTTTCATGAAAATCTTCAAAATCCGATTTTCTTATTATTATGCAGATCGACAAGTATATATATCCTGGCATTGATTAATGAACCCTTAAGAGAAACTAATCAATCAAACAAACTCGAATGAAATAGTTTCCCGATAAATTACCTTACTTAACATTTATAACTAATTGTAAAACCGTTTAATAGGTGGTTTATCGTGTCGTTGCCTACAATTACCTCATTTGGCTGGTTATAAAACATTTTATTTGTGTTTTACTGCTAATTTGCAATCACTGACGCTAAAAGATAACTGTTTGCTCATCAAATATTGCTTTGTCGACAAAATTGGTTTCGTGTAGATTGTTATCAAACATACATGAACCTTTTTATAGTAAGGAAACAGATATCAATTTTGAGTGCTTTGTTGTACAATAATGCATGGTTCGAGTTCAACTGCGTAGGAATATAATCACGAAGGCCGATAGCCCTGAGTGATTAATTACAAACCATTTGAACGATAATTCAAGTTGCTGATTTTCTTATTTAAGTTTTCAGTATTTCACCTGGCAGTGTATCTACCTGCAGTTCTAGTATATCAAATGTGGGCTATTATAAAGAAAAAAAATCTTTCACAATGTGAAACTTTTTAGCGTGAGTGGCGGAGAAAGGGATTCATATTAGACAACTCATTATATGTAAAAAGAATACACAAATGGCGATTTTTTTGTTTAATTAATAAGGGGTGTTATATTTAATATAAACTAAATGTTATTTTTGTAGGCATGGTAACTTTGACGTAGATTCTAAATATCAAGAGATTAATTTAGATAAAAAATATTGTGAGGGGTAGATTAGATATGAAAACGTTTATGATTTGTCCTATTGTTTCTAGATTTAGAAAACCATTAGTGATAACTTTGGTTGTACATTAGACAAAATCAAATACTTTTAACAGAAGAAAAGCACACCTCTCGTCAATGATTTATTGAAATTAATGAACTTTTAATCAAATTAAAGTCAAAACGTTTTATATTTGTTGACATTCGTTTATCTGACAAAATGATCTATCATGCAAAAAAAGCACTTTTTGTACTCATTTCGTATATACATGCATGTGCACTTAATTGCATAAGGCGTCGTTATCTATTTGTTTTTACAAATGCATTGCCACTGCATTTCTTCTGACAATAAAGAAGTACTTGTAAGTGAAGTGGCTGTTATTAAATTAAGCAAACATTAAACTATTAACTATTAAATGCATTATATTATCACCACAACCTCGTGTTGACCTTTATTGACAAACGCATGCTGTTCTTCCATTTTCAATAGGAAATGACGTCATAAAGAAGCAGTAACTTGTCACGGATCTGATAAATCCATACCAAAATTCAATATTACGAAGCTTGAAAATTATCAGCTAAATTTATCATCAATGATCATTAAACTTATCTTTTTGATCTATAAAAGAGTGTTGTAATAAATATCGAATACCTTTTTTTGTATTTGTGTGTTTGAAGTAAATATTGAATAGATTCTTATCTTTATAACGAATAGGGAATGTTTTGATATTTTCAAGCACGCTAAGTTAGATTGAAATTTTTATTTAAAAAATCACTTTGATGAGATGTAAGCTCTATATTTACTAAACATCAAATTTTAAATTCATTTTACATCAAATTCTTACTTAGCATTAAAACTCTGCAGACCAAATGAACGCTTATTTGTCTGACTTCACCGTTACGTTATGAAAATCCGTATCCGTTAAGCGCCCTTATTTGCTGTTACTAAAAGTCTTGTTATATATACACGCGTATATTAAATATACTTGTATCACATAGGTATAGTTGACTGTTGAAGAGCATATGATTGTGTTTGTTTGGTTTTACGGCGCACCAACTCAGTTTAGGTCATGAGGCGCCAAAGAATAAGAGAAAGAGTCACTTATCTCATTAACACTACAGTACAGTAGTTAGAGGGTGTTTATTTTAATTTGTAGGGATGGATAATATACCTTTAGATAGGTCTCATCATTTCCAAAGTTTATATTCAATATTAAACTTTAACTATTCATGTTGTAAACGGATCTATAATCATTCATTGCAGATGTCTGGTTCTTTTGTATTTCTTTTATTGTTATTTTTTTTATTCTTATCTTTATTTTCATTTTTTTTATACCTTATACAAATTACGGAGTATGGACCACCGGTAATTTTATGACTTTCTTCATAATAGAGTACTGGTGCTAGTCTGCTTTGAGCATGTAACTGCTGTCACCAGACAATATATTACTTGAATCATTGACAAGATTTATTGTACGTGATAATGTTCATATATGAATTACAATAGACTGGAACTCATGGCGCCTTTTTTGATATAATTTAGATAAAACTTTGAATAAAGTCGAGGGTTATTTAAGGTTTTATGGTCCTTGTTGGTAATTTCATTTGGTGAATTGACTTAAAACAACACCAGTAATTATTACCCATGAATGACACGTTCCCGCTAGGTGGCATCAACTCTAGGACAATCAACTGGAACACAGCCAGTGACAGCAACACTGTAATCTCAAGATTGACTTTCTCCCCCGATGCTGGTGGCAGTAAAAATCCGAGCACTGCCACCGATGATATAAGAAAACAGGGAAACAGCAAATTAAGCGCATAGAATAACGGTCGTCTCTGAAATATAAGAAAAAGACACAAAACATATACATATACATGTAATCTGATACAAAGAAATGTTGATACTCGAGATATGATAAATAAATTAACATGGACGATTGATCAGAAACGTTTGACTAAAATATGAGCCATGTATGTATGCATTCTAGGCTTAATAAGGGCCAGTCCGCAATTTCAGGCACTGACAGTACGGACCCCTGATATGTCACCATTCATGCCCTAAACATAAAAGCCAGCCATGTCTACTGGTAGATATTCCAACCAAAGTATAAAGTCGATTAGAAGTCTTCGTCATACATTTTGTATAATATCTAAATTAAAAAACAACGAGATGACACAATTTTTAATTGATCTGGTCTTGCCAATGATTATAAGACCATTACAGCATACAAAAAGTGGCGGAAATTACCTAAATTCCACGAGCCCGTAATAAATGTTTTATCTTAATATATATCTGTCGGAACAAATAAAATAAATTGAAGCTGCAGGAATTGGTAATAAAGATCTGTATGAAATTTATCATAGAAGATTGTTCGATTTTATTTCAGCATAACTAATGCTGATACGACAAAGATTATTGTAAGAATAATGAAATCATTCTACCACACCACACAAAGACTGAATGTATTATTAATTCATCCATACTGCACAATATAGGCAACCCAAACTCCCACATCTCACCCCCTCAGCCCCCCCAAAAAAAAAAAAGAAGAAAAATAAACCCCCTAAAAACTAAAGAAACAAAACTCAAAAACCAATTATCATCTCCGTAAAAGCAAATAAGATGAATTGAATGCGCAAGAAATTCAGGAGTTTCTTAAAATAATAAAATTCCAGAAAACATGCCAAGTGTTGTGTCTTACCACATAATCATATGACGTCATATGGCGTAAATATAGCACACACTTATGATATACAATAAGTATAGGAAAGCAAGTCTGTTGAAACAGTATGTTCTCACTCTAAGATCACGTTGCCAAGTCTATGGATATATTTTTCTAAAAGCTTATTTATGCTTTTGTGTCTGTAATCATGTCCTGTTTTTATATTGCTTAACTATCATCACATGCTTATATGCCAACACTTCTGAAAATTTCAAACTGCGTTCTTAAAGCTTGCAAAAAATAGTCAGTATGATAGCCGACGTTGTGAACATTACTGAAGCTCTTTCATTTATATTCATGACTTACACCTCCATAGTTAAGGCAATATTTTAATTAAACGTATTCCATAAATATAATGCTCCCTATGCAACTACCCACATAGATTTTATCTCATAATAAACACAACATTCGTATGAGACGTACTACGGAAGCCCATAGGGGCAATTTTGTCTTAGTAGTTATGAATTTTGACTTCATACTTTCTTATTGTCTGTTTGGCCCCTATGGGCTTCCGTACGTACTACCACATTTTTTATACTTTGTCTGAGGGACTTTAGAGATATACATTTCAATCTCGAAAGTGAGCTTGCTTTAAATTCGGCTCGATTAACATTTTAAATTGGAACTTTTGATGTAAATGTAAGCTTATTGTACTTTAGTTCGTTTTCTTGTAACTTTCTAGCTCAAAACTAGATAAAGGAAGAAATAACATGAAATTTAATTTTGATTTACGTTCTACGTTGTGACATCAAATCATTGCAGCTCATATTTTACGGCTTGCAAAATAAACCCCGACAACATCGCACTGATTAAATATTTCTTGTTTTTGATAACACCCAGTTATAAATTCAAACAATATAAATAAACGAGTTATAAATGTATAAATTTATCATCATTTGAGAGAAATCGTTACCATCTGGTGGCCGACATTATCAAATTTCTCGTCTGCTTTGATTAACAAGTTAATGATTGACGTTCCGGTATCAAAAATAAAAAGACATCGTATAAATGTTAAATATGAGTCAGATAAAATTGTCATGTGTCGTGTTGCTTTGAAGTCAACGCATGACATTAAGACTCAACACATAAGGCAGCGCATGATAGTAGCTGAGACCCAACACATGATAATACGCATAATAGCAGAGCTCTGCGACGCATGATACGACGCATCACGTGTCAAGTGCCACATCTTATCAAGAAACAACATACGATACAACGCATGACATAAGAGCTTAGCGACGCATGATCATGCATGTCGCAGCACGTGTTATGTACCATATCTTTATGTGTTATATCATGTGTCGCTTCGAGAATCATGTATCGGCCTTCTAGAGCGGCATATGATATTAAAAATAGTAATATTCGTACTTCGTAGTCGTCCTGAAAAACTTTTTTGTCATTCTTGTATATTAATAAGGGTTTACGTAGCATATCATTGTCTTTATTTTATGTCATTTATACATCAACTCCTGATTCAAATGTGTGAAATTATGTCCTTAAACTCTTGCAAAAAAAAAGAAAATTGGATAAACGAGTACATAAATATAAAAATGGAAAATAACGAGAATTTTTATGTTAGATAATAATCGTGAACATTTACACCAGATAAAATTCCATCAGTTTGACTGAACAGAAGAACTGCACTTTTTTGTACAATCATTGAGATGAAACATACAACGTTTAAAATCTCACATTTCACAGATAAAATTGAGTGAGAATAATAATAATAATAACAGGGCTGCAAGCTCTGTGGTATTTTCTGATCTTTGCAGTCTATGTATTTTCCTGTATAAGTTCATTTTTATATACTATAATTCATATTACAGGGCACCGAGATGCAGCTACTGTGTTTAGATTTTTTACTATAGCAGTTTGAGTTTGATACATATGGAACTTTGCATGACTAGATCTAGTTGCATCAAAAAATCTTTTATGTTCATTTTTTTATGACAGCCACACTTTATCCTTGCATATCGTGGCTACTTCCTTAAAAAAGACACTTAAAAATAGTTGCCTGGGATTTGAACCCCAGACCTCTCACACCATAAACGAGCGCGCTACCCCTGCCCCAGGAAGAAAGCCTGAATAGAAGCAAATAATTCTAAATTTAGAATTTCCATTCCGGGGTTTGTAATCCTTATTAATTTCGAGGTATTTTGTTCACGATAAACTTGTTGTTTAACACTGATGTAAATAATTTAGCGAAAATCTTCTCGCCAAAACAGTCCGACATTTATATATTCCACTACACGACAGTCAGATTTATTTGTGTACTACCCTCTGAAGTATTCGGTAATGCTATGTTCTCACCGCCGATCAGATCAACATGATCGCCCCGATCACATTAATTCCCCGATGAAGCCGATGAAGCCCGACCAAGCTGGATTAAATGCACATTCACGACTCCTACTCGACCTCAAGTCGACCGGACAACCCGACCAACATCCCGACTTCTTCTCGATCACCCAGACCTATACGCGAGTCATACACGATCTCAACTAGATTAACTGGACCTCTGCTCGATCGTTGCCAGATTTCCACCCGATCAGATCGTAATGATCGTAATCGAGTCATGAATAGTCGTGAAAAGAAAACGAGATGATCGTGTACAGATCGGGTAAGAGGTGTATACCCGACCAAACTAGATCGTTACACGATTTTTTTCTCGATCAACTAGATCTTCTATTCGATCACTTTACGATCGCTTCTCGACCGCTTATCTACTCGATCGCTACTCGAATTTTTTGTGAGAACACAGCATAATCGACATCGCTAAAAATAGCATTTTCATTGATTAAAATGATATTCATCCGCGTAATTTGTGATTGTGCATTTATTGACAATTCTAAAAGCCAAAGCTATTTTAAACTTTGAATGCGTTGTAATTTGTTGGATACTTGTAACAAAATAAAAAAAATCTTTCTTTTACATCGCTAGTTTTAAGATGTTTTGAGAACTACTTGTTGTTAAGTTTGGCCAGAGATTGAATGTTAGCATTGTATTTCCTGATCTACGATTATCAGGACAGTCAAAATTGCTTGCACATTGTCAGAAAGGCGAGCAACAGAAAATTGCAATAATAATTCCTAATTCATATTGATTTGAACTGTTGCCAGTGCTCGAATGAGATTTATGGCAACATTTTCTATACCATTCACTGTCACGTGATAAATTCTATCATGCGATATTGTACTATGTCAAGTGTCCACTTGTGTACATTAATGGGCTCTAAAATGCCCATTCAGGCATCTGTTTGTCCTTTGACAGCTTGGTCATTACATTAACAGGTTGTTATAACGGGAGATTTTATGACACAAATGACAGGAAAAAAAACAAAACAATTGCTCTAACAGATAGTCCATTATCGCCTATAGAAACAAGTGAAGTGTTTTTAAAATAATGTATTATACAGATAAACCTGTGAATAAAGCCTATTTATAGGAAAGACCACAAAGACTTGATTTGTAGTGAACTCGTTTGACACAGGGTGGTCTTTATATACAGGGTTGTCTTTATTTAGAGGTGGTCTTTAACATACAGACAAACCTGTGAATAAAGCCCATTTATAGGAAAGACCATAAAGACCAGAAAATGCTCTTATTTGTAGTTAACTCTGAAGGTTCGACACAAAGTGGCATTTATTTACAGGATGGTCCTTAACACAGGTTTGACTATAACTATGGTTAAACTTGTCATATTACAGTGAGTTCAATGCTATTCTTATAGAAAACGTAGTATCAGAGCAAAGGTTTAACTGTTTTCAGAAACATTGTATAACAGTTAAAAGAGAACGTTACATAAATGAATTATTTAGAAATAGCTTTTTCAGTTCTATACCAGAGAAATTATATATGCATTGTATAAAGAATATTTCTCTCATATCGAGTAATATTGAGTTGCAACCGTTAAGATTTCTGCCATTTAACCTTAGGGATCGTGGATTCGAGCCATACTTGGGGGTAATGATCGATGATGGGTTCTCATATCACAACAGTTCTGGTTGATTATCAGGAAATGATGTAAAGAGTTGTACAAATTAGCGCGAAGCTTTTATCACAATCAAGCTAAAACAAATGAGCCGCGTCACGACAAACACAACATAATGGGTTTGCGACCAGCATGGATCCAGACCAGCCTGCGCATCCGCGCAGTCTGATCAGGATCCATGCTGTTCGCTATCAGTTTCTCTACTTGTAATAGGGTCGGTAAGCGAACAGCATGGATCCTGATCAGACTGCGCGGATGCGCAGGCTGGTCTGGATCCATGCTGGTCGCAAACCCAGTATGTTGGTTTTGTCGTGACGTGGCTCAAATATGTTTAAGCTAAACAAAGTTTTATTTATTCAACTATGTCAAAATATCAATTTACGTAAAGTCAATGGGCAATATCATCTCTTAATAATACAAAAAAATACCCCTGGAGTCAAAGTGAAATAACCAATGAATTGCAAATTATTTCATGCCTGCTGGTTAATACATGTATAATTAATTTCATTGATAGGAATCAGCAATATACTGATATTTTATCAGAGCGAGTTGACCCAAGCGGATCTATAAATTGATATACTTGTGCGGTAAGATAATAAGGTCGGTTTTACGAGGTCAGACGGTGCCAGAGGGGTAAAAATAAGGATAATTCATATCATAAGATTCATCATTTGTTTAATATTCATGATTGCAGAAAATCACTTTTAAACAAAATACATTTGAAGTAAAACATATATAGAATGAATACTTAGCAACTTCATGCTTGTAAAAACATATATGGAAGAATACTTTTGCAAGATCATGCTTGCCATGACGTCATATCAGACAGTGATTATTTCAGACATATTTATCCATCTCCGTGCTTCAGAAAAAATGATTAAACATGTAAGAACAATATATTTTAAATGAACAGCTTAATATGTCAATAGATGAATAATAATGAAATCAATATATCTAATGTATTGTTATTTGAGTAGTACACTATAAGAATTAAAAGTAAAAATAAAAAGCGGGAAAGGATTTGGTATTTGATATTTAAACATTTCTGAAGAAATTGGTAATATATTTCATTTAATTTAATATATAATGATTAAAGGAATTTTAATGCAAGTGTGACAATCACGCAAAGCAAATATATGGTACAAACTTGGAACATTTATTTCGGAGTGTGAGAAGTTTGTAGTTTTCAAAAATCATACAATACATTTTTAAGTTTTCTTATTTCATTGTTCACTATTATTAGGTTATTTTACAATGTTGAGTTCAATACTGAATTCTCTTGGACGTGAAATATGTACTGGACGAGACGCTAGCCGGGTCTGAGATAGGTTTTGCAGCTTTGCACGAAATCAGTATTGTTCTCAACAATGTATATAATGACCTCCTTATTTCACATTTAAAAAGAAAGTTGTTACTTCAAGTATCATAACAAATCTATTTAAATTTTTGGCCCTTAAAATTGAAATGATGCTAGATGGAGTACGATTTGCATCTATGATATAGAGATTTTGGAATCTGAATATGAACACGAGGCTATGTGCATTAGATGTAAATAGATGTTTTTGACCGAGACTATATCGATAAGACTGGGTCCGATAATGATTTGTGTAGGAACATCACGTGGTTCAAGGCTTGAAATTTATTGGTTAAATTTTAAAATTTGTGAATTAAACAATCTAACCGTTGAGATACGGTATTTCTTCAGCAATTGTGGATTTTTAGTTAAAAATAACACTTATAGTATTAATCTTGAAAATAGTTTAATATTGTGTTCTTAATCTTACCTCTAAAAGTAGTTGTACTACCAAAGTCGGATAAGGATCTTGCCCATAATATGTTACTGGCCGATCTATTGGACAATCAAAAACTTGCCACTCCGAGTTTAAAACGTATGACGACATATCCGCCTTTGTTGATATGTTAATGACGTTAACTTGGTTACCACTGTATGCCCATGAACCAAATGTGAGGTTACACACTTGATAGTCAAATGGGAAATGTGTGACATCTACAGCACAAACGCTTCTGAAATGGCACGGAAATGATATGGAGATTAAACGGAAATGACACGGAAATGACATGGAGATTAAACGGAAATGACACGGAAATGATATGGAGATTAAACGGAAATGACACGGAAATGATATGGAGATTAAACGGAAATGACATGAAAATGTCATGGAGATGACATAGAAATCACATTGAGAATATTTTAAGTCTAGGTGCTCCTTTAGCTTGACACCTTTAAATGGCTCTTGTTCCTATTTTCATAATTTCCCTAAAATGTGCCTGTGTGTGTTTATGAGTGTATGTTTTGATATCCCCTCTGGTGATGCCGTGTGCAACTCAATCGAACCGAGTCTGCACTTTTCATGTAACTTTTTGGGGATTAATGCTTCCGAGGAATCACTTTGTTTCCAGATTTTTGTTTGGTCTTATATTTTCATGTATACATTAAATAAATAAATAAATAAGTAAGTACGTATACTTGTACCTAAGCTAAATGGGAATTTTTTATGTATAATCTCAAGCGGTCCATGTATGTATCTATAGATAAAGGACAAAAATCATGTCACTTCTTACAAGGTGAATAATGTGTTCTGTTGGCAACATAAACTCTGATATAGCAGCTGCATGAGATAGAACAATAATTACATGAAGTTTGTTGTTTCTTTGCAAATATTCTTTACTTAAAGTGTGCATTTTTACGATTTTTTTTATATATTTGATAGTTGACATACTTTATCGTAAACACCAATCTGATTAAAATTAGCTCTAAATAACGTTCCGCTTTTAGATCTAACTGTGACCAAATACGAAATCATTTCTTGTGACCTTTCACACAGCCAATCATCGGCGAACTTTTATTATTTTGAAAGCGATGTGGTTTCTAATTTTAACCCTGGGAAAACCAATACTTAGTAGGTAATTTTCACGATTTCCAGAGCAAACATGGCGTTTTCCATATAGCCGACATGTAATTTGGCAAAACAATCTTGCCTATTAAAAATTGACTTAATTATTTCAAGTTAATTTGTTAAAAATTACTTCAAACATTTTTTTCTAACAAAAATCAACAATTTGTTTAACTTCCACGGATAACTGTATTTTAATACTTCTTCTAATGCCTAGACAAAACGTCGTAAACATGACCTTTCCTTTTTGATATAACGGCAATCAAGTTCATTTACATAATATATCTACACTACTAAGTAAATTTGGAAAGAAAATGAAAAAAAAAAATGAAAGTAAAATGAAATAAAAACATGTATCGTAAAAATAAAGTTACCTCAGCAATGAAGGAAAGTTGAACTTGATTACACCATTACTATGTATGGCCAAGTTATAATCATCTATCCCAGACAATTTGTCTGCTGCTGCACTGAAAACAAGTCATTCCATATTGATAAATTAAATAACAAACCATTTGTAAACTTCTTTCTAAAATATTTATGTTTGAATCAGAAATCGCCCCATTTTAATCTCTCAAATCATCTGAAAGCTCAGAAAATAACGTTATTGTATATTTAAAATGAGTTGGACATTTTAATAACTTATCCTTATAAAACAAAATATGTAAAAAAATTATATGCATGTAGGCAACCGATTCAAGGTTGATTACTAAAACAAAACACGATAAAATGATAGGTTCAGCAAACACATTTTAAGTAAAATAAATTAAAATATTTAGTGGTTTGTTTTAATTGTTTTACGTTAAATATAAGCCTGTAAATACCAAAGCTGATAGTTAATATGCTAGTTTCTTTACAGACTTTTATGAGGGGTTAATTAGATAGTATTATTTAAGGCTTTGATGATTTAATACGTATATAAACATTGTGGTAAAAGACGCACACATTTTTGGACTAATAATTCAATATCTATGACAGAGCCCCTGCGCTTAAATAACATTTTTAAAGTTTTTTTTTCTATATAGTATGAAGAAATTTTTGTTTGATTGCTAAAGTTGTACTTTTACCTTATTTTGATAAAATACATATTTCTAGAATTTAGAAACTTAATATGAACTGCTATATTAATATCTATGAAGTTATTATATGAAATTTGATTTCAACAAAGGAGATTAAGGGTCATGGAAGCATTGAACCGTCGGCGCCCAGTGGGTCACCTAAAAGGAATACAGATACAAATATACTTGTGACTATTATATCTGTTATCTCAACCGCAATACGTTATAATAGTTCAAGAATTATTTCATTTTCTCTTTGTCATAAATATCTATATACATAGGTCAATGAATAATTGATATATTTAAATTCTTATTACTTATCATATAAGGTGAGATCTGGCACCCAGACTTTATTCTGTGGAACAATGATGTCATTTATTCCTTCGAAATTACTGGCATTCCATTTTAACCTACAATCTTCCCATTCCTGCAACATACAAAAATTGTTTTGTTCATTTTTGTTTCTAGAAATCATTTATTGTCATAATACAATGTACGAATGTAAAAACGTATACAACATTAACATAATAAAAGGTACATTCATGTATGCATAAGGATACAGGATCGAAAAAAAAAACACAACCAAACATATCGTGTTGCCATATCAAGTTCCTGATGCTTTTTATAAAATGACATTTTTTCAATGCGAACTATACTTACGAGCAAAGCATTATATGACACATTTACCTTATTCTGTAAACAAGATCAGGCAATATAGACGCTTAATGATCAGTGTCAGTCAGTCCCTCGAAAACGCTCTCATATTGAGAAAGCCTGTTACATTTATAAATATTGTTAATTGGAATATTTGTTGTTCATTGTAAAACTGAACGCAAAAAAATACAGTTTGTAATTTTAATCTGTTAACCATCAGGCATCTAGCATTTCCATTATGAACATTTTACTAGAGTTAGTTTTTGCTTCATCTAGTAATATGATGCTTGTGGGTGGAGCGCTACTATCATTTTGCGAGTGGTCGATTGTCTGTCTAACAATGTATTTATGGCAGTTTAAAAAAAATCACAAATGTAAATCAATTCTGTTAACCACAAATAATGTGGAAAAATCTGACTCACCATTCGAACCCATAGAATAGAATTCAAAAATTGTCTTGGCTCTTCCTGAAACGATAGTATTTATACTTTAATCGAGCTTGGTAAGTTCTTAATCTAACCATGTTTTTAAAACATATAACTGCAAATCGGCTCTTACTCGGCAGTTATTAGTGTAGCCGCTTTTTTCATGAAGGAACCAGTGCTGATAGTGAAAATTGTGATAAGCATATCTTAATTAGCCAGGTCAGGTGTTTCTAAAAAGGCTGATAACACTGTAGCAATGTGAGGATACATTCAAATTTGTTACATAGAAATACACGTGGTGCTCAGCTCGCAGAAACAAATGAGTACACAGTACTTTTTTGATATCATTTTAACTCTAAGAAAATGTCAATTATTAATTGCTGACTGTTTATATTTTCTAGAAAAAGTAAGCAAAACATTATTTTGTTTCAAATGACAGGAATGAATTGCATTAACAATCCTATGTATTGTTGAAAACTCATTGTTTTACATGCCAGATTAAGTAATTGGACCCCATCCTTGTTTGTACGTGACTGCTGGGGAAAAATAATGTTATGCTTAATTAAAGAGGTGACACTTTCTATATTTTTATCTGACATCGAGTTGTAAGAACCGATTTGCAGTTATATGGGTAAGAGTTCGATAAGACTCCCTACGGTCGTCTTAATACAAACTCTTACCCATACATAACTGCAAATCGGCCCTTACTCGGCAATAATTAGTGTAGCCATTTTTTTAATGAAGGAACCAGTGCTGATAGTGAAAATTGTGATTAGCATATTTTAATTAGCCAGGTCAGGTGTTTCTAAAAAGGCTGATAACACTGTAGCAATGTGAGGATACATTCAAATTTATAACATAGATAATACACGTGGAGTTCAGCTCGCAGAGACAAATAAGTACACAGTAACTTTTTGATACCCTTTCAACTCTAAGAAAAATGTCAATTATTAATTGCTGACTGTTTATATTTACTAGAAAAAATGAGCAAAACATTATTTTGTTTCATATGACAGGAATGAATTGCATTAACAATCCTATGTATTGTTGAAAACTCATTGTTTTACATGCCAGATTAAGTAATTGGACCCAATCCATGTTTGTACGTGACTGCTGGGAAAAAACGATGTTATGCTTACTTCCTATATTTTTATCTGATATCGAGTTGTAAGAGCCGATTTGCAGTTATATGGGTAAGAGTTTGATAAGACTCCCTACGGTCGTCTTAATACAAACTCTTACCCATACTTAATACGATTTGTGTAAAATGGGCACAACTTTGTTGAATTCCGTATTCATGTTTGACTCATCGTTTGAGTTTTGCTGACCAAAATCAGCACAGATCACTTCGGCATCAAACCCCTTTAAATATTAAAGTATTGTAAAAAAGACAAAAAAAGGGTACCCTTTTCTTTGGTTGGGTTTTTAAAGTCGCACCATTTTAGTTGATTTTATAAAAGCGAAAAAAGAACAGGCATCCCGCCCGTAATTATTTCAGAAAATGCACGGGACCTGGAAAAAGAAACCCTTTTGTTTTTGCAAAAGGATGGATAGCCTTACACCAAAAAAAATCTCAAGTTCCCCCAGATGAAATTGGGAACCAACAACGGAAAAACCCAAATAAAGGGGGCAAATGCCCCGGAGGAAGGGTTTGGTTTGTTTATGAGATGTACAATTTTTAAATAATTTTTTAAAAACGCCCTCATGGGAAAACCCCAAACCCGAAAATTCAAGTTTTTTAAATTTTGGGGTTTTAAAAAAATGAAAACTGACTATGTTAGTTTTTTATGTTATTAATTTTTTTTCCTCTTTATTGGTCATTGCATGCATTGATTGACATTTTTAACAAATGAGTATATAACAATAGATTATCAGATGAAATAATTGTACTCATAATTATTCTTGTATATACAATACAATATAAAGACAATGGAAACGATTTAATTTGTGTTATTACATAGTTAAGTATTATGTTGAAAATAAGAAATCTTATATATAAAGATAAGAGAAATATTAAAATGCATAATTACTAGATCAACAATTTGTCTTAATGCAAAGTCAATGTACACTTCTGTGATGGACGATGCTTTACACATCGGTCTTGTTTCTGCCTGGTAGTCTGACGTCATGTTCCGGAATAATTCATCTAGAATTGAACATCTTATACCTGGAAAAAAAAAAGAATATATTTATCTTAATTGCTCTCTTTAATCAAAGCAGGTTTTTGTTTCACAAAATAGTTCCAATCACTTTGAAGGCACTCAAGACTTCTGTCATAAGTCCAAGGAAAACAAAACACCTTTTTGTTTAGTGTTTTATATTATGACTTGTTTTTCCAATAAATGGCAAGTTTGAAAGCATTATATCGATCAACAGAATGGACATTTTCTCGTAAAAATCTAGCTTTGACGAATGAATGATAGCATTACATATTTACATTATTACAAACCGTCGCATAGATGTTTTTTTAATTAAGAAACAATGTACTTTGGTTTAAACATATTTTCATTCAAGATATATGTATACACATGTTAATAACTTACAATTTAAAGCAGGAAGACAGGGAGCTGCAAAAGCTCATGGTAGTCTTTTCCTTGTGGTAGTGTTCTTTAGTTATTGCAAATCAGACAAACCAAAAAACTACCAAGTACATGTAATACGGTATGATCTATGTTAAAAGATTGTTAACAGCAGATGTACTGATCTTACAACACGTTTTATAAAAGCCAATTTAAAGGTTGTTTCAGCATTGAACATATTATACAACAAATAACTTAATATGAGCCGCGTCACGACAAAACCAACGTAATGCGTTTGCGACCAGCATGGATCCAGACCAGCCTGCGCATCCGCGCAGTCTGATCAGGATTCATGCTGTTCGCTATCAGTGCGCAGTGCGCAAATGCGCAGGCTGGTCTGGATCCATGCTGGTCGCAAACGCATTACGTTGGTCGTGACGCGGCTCATATAATTGTCTGACACGTCTCACAACCAAAGGCAAAACCACGCAAAATGTGTGCAAAACAAATTTTGAAACAAAGACAAAAATATACGTTTTGTCGACAAAATAAAAAGCAAAGACATTACATATGAAATGCTTAGTTAGCTTTGTTGCTTAATCAAATCAAATATCTAACATTATTTGATTATAATTGAGTTTTATGTTTATTTATATTATCTTATAATCTAGCAATCATTCCGGAATGTGTAGGATTATGAAATAGGAGTCACCTAATTCATTTAACATATACAATAAAATGTTTAGAGTAAATAATGCGTCATTTATTCTATCAACATAGTCAAAGAGCAATAATGTGACAATTAATGGATTGTATGGAAAGCACTTTTATGGCATTTATTGGAATTGTACAGTGTAAACAATGAGCAATAAAAGTTATGTATCTGCAAATATTTGTTTTGGTTTGCCATCTAAAGGTGATTTTGTTTGCTTTTTTTGTGATATATTTAACATTCTAACACGATTCAAAATATTTCCCTATCAAACAGATAGACGGATAGGGAAATCAAGTGCATTAATATTACATGATATATATGCATAGCATATAAAAACGAATGCATACACGCCATATGACCTCATGTATATGACGTCAATAAACCAAATGAAGTCAGGAAAATTACTTCCACGCTCAGCGTATAATTACCCTTTTTTCTTTATCATTAGCATGTTAGAATGTAAACAAATATCAATTTTTCTTGCATTATAGAATAATAATGCACGGTTTATCGTTCAAAAGCTTTGCAATTAATCACGCAGGCCAATCAGCCTTTGTGATTATAATTATTCCAACGCATTAAAATTCAACCGTTCATTATTCTGCGACAATGCACTCAAAATTGATATATATTTCCTAAGCATACTTTACTTTTTTATTGGACATTTAAATCCGTATACAGTATAAAATAAATGTGTCATCGTTCAATTCGATCATTCAATTGATTTATTCGAAAGTACAGTCGTTTCAAATGATTTTTTTAAACAAACTGATACTTTTTATTAATAAATTAATTATATCTATTCGGGCAAGTTGTTTTTCGTATATTTTATTATTTTTCAAAGGGTTCAGAGTTTTGTTGTTCCTGCCATACGGACCTTGTTTTCATCCTGAAAGAACACATTTGAAACACACTGGCTGTTAACGTATTTAAGAAAGAAGAAATTCGTCAAGTTTTACGAAATGTTTAATTCATTTTAATACTTATTATTCAAATGTGAAATTATAAAATTTGACTGTCAAATACTCTTTGTTATAAACCCTCATAATCATTATATGAGCCGCGTCACGACAAAACCAACATAATGGGTTTGCGACCAGCATTGATCCAGACCAGCCTGCGCATCCGCGCAGTCTGATCAGGATCCATGCTGTTCGCTATCAGTTTATCTACTAGTTATAGAGTTTGCAAGCGAAAAGCATGGATGCTGATCAGATTCTGGTCTGGTTCCATGCTGTTCGCAAACACATTATGTTGGATTTGTCGTGACGCGGAACAATTATGTATTTCTTTTTGTTGTCAAGCATTTTGGAAAATCTCAAACATTGATGCAATGGAAAGTTATATTTAGGGTATGTTTTTCTATAAATCAATCTTCTGAGGCATCACAATGGAAAAACAAAACAACTTATTGTTTAATGCTGTATTTGTTCCTTATTTTCAATAAATGGTATAATACCAATATGTAGCACTGGTATTTTCTCAAGTATGATGCATTATATTTAACATAACCAGCAAGTAGATTTGTTCTTAGGAACAATGTACTCTGAGAGAGAATTACGTTTCTTTTAAGTCAAAGTAAGATATCAACATATTAAAAATCCTCCAAATGGACGATACATTAAAATAAATACAAGTCTTTTATTAGCATTGGCAACTAAAATGTTATTAAAATAACAAAACTATAGTTGTGTAGTAAGATAATGAGCAAAGAAAAACACGAATAGGTAAAAAGCAGAATAAAAAAAACAAACAAAAATTAAGAAACAAACCGACCGTATCTAAATAATCTAAAGAAAAACAGCAACAAATAAAATAAAACAACAAGAACAACAGCACCATCCTTTTATGAAACAAACAATAACAAAATCCCGGACTTACCTGTAAAGGTAACTAAAAGCAAAATTATAAATTCCTTTTTAAGCATGATTGTTCGCATGCACTACTCTGAGTCACAAATTCTTATGACAATTTAACTGACAATGTGCATACTGTTTATTGATATATCCTTAACCAAGTATTTGCTTCTATTCTATTCGTCACAGCAGTCGGGTCTAAATCAACACAAATCACGAATCAGTTGTTATATAACAGCTTAAAGAACTTCCACTTGTCGTATCGAACTTCTATATCACAGCGACCGGAAAAATAAATAGTTATAAATGAGCCGCGTCACGACAAAACCAACATAATGGGTTTGCGACCAGCATGGATCCAGACCAGCCTGCGCATCCGCGCAGTCTGAGTTCGCTTACAAACCCTATAACAAGTAAAGAAACTGATAGCGGACAGCATGGATCCTGATCATGCGCAGGCTGGTCTGGATTCATGCTGGTCGCAAACCCATTATGTTGGTTTTGTCGTGACGCGGCTCAAATCACGAATCAATTGTTATATAACAGATTAAAGAACTTCTGTTTGTCGCACACAACGACCGGAAAAAATAAATAGTTATAAATCTATTTTTTTTATAAACATGACGTTTGAAACACTACAATTTTGCACTAGATTGTTTGTACAATCATATTGAACCGATGTAATCCTGAAGCAGGGACATTTATGACAATAAAGCTTCTAATGATTTAAATTTTCAGGATTGTTTACCTGTTAATGATTACCTATTTTCTCTGAGGAGTGGATTATTGGGTTATAGATCAAAATCAATTCTAACACCGTCATCCCCGGATGTAGTGGTGTCTAAAGAAATATTGTGAGAATCGTTATGTTATCATATTTTCGCTTCATTTAGCGGTCCTATTTCCATCACGTTCGTTTGGCGCAACGGAATAGTGTGTCTTCCTATAGTTGAAGGGCATTAATGTATGACATTAAATACAAAAGAATTATTTATCGATGACACCACTAAACAGAGATATTTATATTATAGAATATTGTCTACAAGAACTCGAGTTAATCATTTTGTTTTTGTTTATTTTAGTAAAGCGTGCAAATAATTGATACTCAATGTCAATTTAATTGGTAAGTCGCCTATTCACTGGTAACAATAAGGTTATTCAGAAAGTAATTGTAGTTATAAATATAGAGATATATAGCAAATATAGTATATTAGTACAAGACAATAAAAATAATTCATTTGTATGAAGACATTCTACCCTAAGGACAATGTTAAACTTGACATCCTTATATAATCGGAAGAGTTTCATTTGTATTGAACTATGAGGTTGACCACTAAATGACTAAATGACTTTTAAAATCATCATCATCATCATCATCATCATCATCATCATCATCATCATCATCATCATCATCACCACCACCACCACCATCATCATCATCATCATCATCGTCATCATCATCGTCATTATCATCATCATCATCATCATCATCATCACCATCACCATCATCATCATCATTCATGCATACATTCATTCATTCATTCATTCATTCATTTTTCCATTATCAATAAACCATGTACCTATGATGATAAGATATACAATAGAGGCCATAGTCTGCTAGACATTTTCTTCTTTATCTTTCATTATCGCTGTGTTTTTTTTTTTGTTTTTTTTGTTGTGTTTTTGTGTGTTTTTTTGTTGTTGTTGTTTTTTTTATTTTTTTGGTGATTACCCGTATATTTATAATGGAATATTTTTTCTTTATCTTTATATAATTTTTCGTTATTTCGTTCCCTGCTCAGCACCTATATTCTTCTCTTAAATAAGATCATATTGACCCACATTTTTTCTTGTTTTTTTTATTCCTTCATCAACATCCGTATCCATTTTCATTGCTTAATTAAGTGGACACACTATAGTCAGTTCTTTCATAGTGAAATATAATAATCATAATATTCACCACTCTAATCTGAATATCATTAATAACCTTAAAGTGATTATCAATCAGGTATAGTCATTAGTTATTCATTACTATGCCATGACGGAAATTGAATTGATTTTTAATCAAATGACGCATCCGATAACTATGCTAGTATCTTGTCAAAAATAATTGCTTTATCTTTATAGGCATCAAATCACCGTATCACCGTTATTTTTCATAGATTTATAAATGCAAGCGTGATTTTTATTCGCCTTTCTTAAAAATGAGGTCATATTCAATGCAGGAATCAATGTTAATGTTCTATAGATGCCATCTGGGACACAATTTCCATGCTCTGAATAAAGTATCTGATTTGTTTTCACTAATGCCACTAGTATTAAGCCATTTAACGCATGATAAGAATATCTGATTTTATTATTTTATATGTATTTGAGCTTGGACTTGGTAGAATATGGAATTGCTGTAGTTCATGTTATCTAACGGAAGCAAAGCTGATCAAAATGATGAAAATGGTGATGATGATTAATGATCACAATGATTATGATGATGATGGTCGTTATGGTGGTGATGATAATACTAATGGTGATGATGATTAACGATGATCATGATGATCGTGGTGACTATGATGATGATAGTCCTTGTGATTGTCGTTATAGCTATGGTGATAATGCTAATGATGATTATGATGATGATGGCAATAATAGTCTTTAAGGTGGTCGTTGTGGAGATGATGGTGATGATGGTTATGATGATTTATATTGATGATGATTGATGATGATAGTGGTCGTTATGAGGGTCGTTGTGATTATGGTTTTGATAATAATGATAATTATGATGATTCTGATAAAAAATAGTCGTTATTGTGGCCGTTGTGGCTATGGTGATGATTGTGGCGCCGTTAAATGTCGCAACGCCGCTAAATGTCGCACTTTCCGCTAATTGTCGCACCATTGCCGCTAAATATCGCAACCGCCGCTAAATGTCGCAAAATCATTTGCCGTTAAATGTCGCAATGTTAACGCTAAATGTCGCACGAATTTCCCTTACCGTTAAATGTCGCAAAAAACCCATCCGTTAAATGTCGGCTAATTGTAAATTCAAAGTTTAAAATTTATGATTAAAGTTTGTATTATATTACCCTTTTTTTTAAAAAATTTTCATTTTGTTATTTTTATTGTAAAAAATTTTCCATCTTTTTTTTACTTGTTTTCTTTTATTTAACCTAAATGTGAAAGGGTTTTTAGGGTGCTTATTTAACGCCTTTTCTAAACGGGGGGCTTTTTCACATTTTGGTGATCTGTTTAAATGAGAGCCATCGACACTTCCGTTGCAGAGCCCTCGATGAAAACAAGGCTGAAAAAGGTAATCAATTTTAGTAAAAATATCAATTTAAAAAGATCATGCTTGTTTTTCAAAAATCGAAGAATGTCATGCCACGTAGATCATTTTTCTCATAATGTTGGGTGAAATTTCGATAAGAAACACCCTAAAATGACGTTGCTAGAACTTTTACCAAATATAATCTTGTGAGTTTTCTTTTACGAGGAGACACATTTTGAGTGATTTCCCTTCCGTAAAGTAGATGCTGACCCATGTATTCGTGTGTATAGCATTGTCCCAACCTCCTTTTTGGACCAACACAAAAAATAACTTACAGAACTTACTTGAAAACCAAATAATCAAATTTTTATTATTGTGATCGAGCCATCGACATGGTGCTGGCGCCATCGGCAATGTGAATGAGCCCTCGAAAATGTGATGGAGCCAACACTATCATTCATTTTGTGATAATATGATGGAGTTTAACCGTTACTTAACCTAACTGATTAACATATACAATTTCGCATGCATCGTATCATTGGGTTGACATATTGAATTAAAATACGCGATTTGATTATTCGAATTCATGCAAAATTGAAGTAAAACCTCTTTGTATAAAATATTAACAGATTAGCACACAAAAATAGTTCTTTACTTTTAGTCAGTAAAATTTCAGTTTTTAATTTTGAAATTTATGTAAATTTCATGTGGAATCTCGACATGAATAAGGGGATACAAAAAATATTTTCATGTGATGTGTGTAAAAAGACGTACGCCAATAACGCCAGGGTTAAATTTCATATAAAAAAACTGTCATGAGCAGGCGCCGACCAGTACATTATGTGGTATATGTGATGGGCGATACGCAACACCATCTTCTCTTAAAAGGCACGTTGATCGTGTACATACACGAGAAAGGGAACTTGTGTGCACGATTGAAGAATGCAATAGTTCATTCTAGACAAAAAAGACAGGACGGACCACATACGGAAAAAACACAATGTTAATGAGCTGAATTGTGGAAGTGTGAGAAACATTTTACTTATGAACGCAACTTAAAATGACACCTCCAAAGATGCGAAAAAAGTATCCCCACATGCAATTATTGTACCAAACAGTTCTGTAGTCGAGGGGCATTTTTCCTTATGTGGTCCGTCCTGTCTTATTTGTGTAGAATGAACTATTGCATTCTTCAATCGTGCACACAAGTTAAACACAAGTTCCCTTTCTCGTGTATGTACACGATCAACGTGTTTTTTAAGAGAAGATGGTGTTGCGTATCGCCCATCACATATACCACATAATGTACTGTTCGCCGCCTGCTCATGATGAAATTTAACCATGGTCTTATTGGCGTACGTCTTTCTACACACATCACATGAAAATATATTTTGTATCCCCTAATTCATGTCGAGATTCCATTTGAAATTTTCATAAATTTCAAAATTAAAAACTGAAATTTTACTGACTAAAAGTAAAGAACTATTTTTGTGTGCTAATCTGTTAATATTTTATACAAAGAGGTTTTACTTCAATTTTGCATGAATTCGAATAATCAAATCGCGTATTTTAATTCAATATGTCAACCCAATGATACGATGCATGCGAAAATGTACATGTTAATCAGTTAGGTTAAGTAACGGTTAAACTCCATCATGTTATCACAAAATGAATGATAGTGTTGGCTCCATCACATTTTCGAGGGCTCATTCACATTGCCGATGGCGCCAGCACCATGTCGATGGCTCGATCTCAAGAATAAAAATTTGATTACTTGGTTTTCAAGTAAGTTCTGTAAGTTATTTTTTGTGTTGGTCCAAAAAGGAGGTTGAGACAATGCTATATACACGATTAAGTGGGCCATCATCTACTTTACGGTAGGGAAATCACTCAAAATGTGTCTCCTCGTAAAAGAAAACCCACAAGGTTATATTTGGTTAAAGTTCTAGCAACGTCATTTTAGGGTATTTCTTATCGAAATTTCACCCAACATGATGAGAAAAATGTTCTACGTG